AAGGCAGGGTGCAGAGGAAGTCTCTGTAGGACAGTCCCTCAAACATGGCTCACAAGGCTGGTTAGAGCCAGGCCTCCTCGAGCATCAGGGAGAGGACTTGGGTGGAGAATGCTCTTAGAGAGCCATCAAGACCTGGGAGTTCGGGGCATGCCCACCTGAGGACCCAGTGGCTCGTTCAAGCCCAGCAGACAGGCCGCCCCCTTGGCTGGGGTTGGCTCAGCAATGGAGAGGATTGAAGGCACAAGCCGATGCTTTTCAGAGGGGGTGCTAATTCTAATCGAGAGCCCAGAGTCTGGACCTGGAAGGAGGCGGAATCTCAGCACTGCCCTTGATTGCACTGAACCTCTGCCTGCCTCAGTTCCCCCCTCCTTCAAATCAGGGGAATTAACAGTATCTTATAGGATTTCCCTGGGAATGAAGTCCATTAATGTCCGGGACACTGAGAATACTACCCCTGCACATGGTCAACACGTTTCATCCCTCTCACTGAGCAGGGAGGAGGAACTGAGGGACTGGACAGCCACTACCAGAGTAAAGCGTGCTCAGCATCTGCACTTGCGAGGGGCCGTGTACAGCAGGGACTCGGCTAAAGCAGGTAGGACTGGGGCGAGGACACTAAACCATGTTCTTGCTGCGAAAGTCAGAGGGGACTCCATATGGCTAGAAACTGGACCTTATGTAGAAAACACCATGAAAATACTATGCGTGGATTTCAAAAGTCTTTTGCACCAAAATAAACCCATACTCTATTTTCATTTTTCTTGAAGCTTTCTGAAATCCCCCTGTATTTTTGCCAAGAGGGAAGTGAAATTTATTCTAGGGACAATGTGGTTTCCCTACCTGCCTTGTGCAGTTGGCCCAGTACTTACTGACCGGCCATCTTTAAACTCCTGTGGTAGGGGCTGTCCTTTTTTTTTCCCCTAATGATGTGGAACAAAGATTCAATAATAAGTGTTTAACAGGGACACTCCTTTTTCTGTTAAAATAATCTTTGTTTCAGTGCTTTAACAAGGGAGACTGTGTTTTTCCCACCCCTGCTCTCATGTTACGTTCAGGCCAGGGCTCAGGAGTAAGAAAATAAACACGGGCTCCTCCGTGGGGCAGGAGGGGCTGAGTTTTCTCACTGGACAGCACAGGAGTGGAGTGTCCACTGCCTGCCCTCCCACGGAGACCCACGTCGCCCAGCCAGGAGCTCGTGTGCATGTGTGTCAGAGGTTCCTGGTGCCAGCTACTGAGCGTGAGCGGGCAGAGGGAGGAGGTGGATGAGGACTGGCTGCAGGACTGCAGGGACGAAGGGGTGGTTGTCAACAAGACGGGATGGTGGGTGAGACTGATCTTTTCTTACGGGAAGCTTCAGGGTGCCGCTTGGATGGTCGGAAGCCAGGCACTCAGGCCGCTGGACTTCCTTATTCTAGTGCAGACCTTACTGCGGAAGCAGAGCCCGTCCCACCTGGGTGCTTGGGCTCTGTCCTCAGGACTTGGATCTATCTTTTGTGTGGAGAGAAAATTCCCACATTACCACTCAGGGGGACAGAAACTTCTTTTCTCTTTAACTGACGGAACTTGCTTGTGAGCCTCCATTTAGGCCGATGGCGGAAACAACTTAATCTTTTTTCCATCTCGACTGTTGGCCAAAAGAGAAAAAAAATTAATCTTTTTTCCATCATTTCTTCTAATGGTGGAAAAAAACATAATCTTGCCATCTCAAGGTAACTCATTCTCTCTTAACCAAAAGCATAGACCATCCATTTATTCATAAATTCAGGATTCAACACGGTAGATCCAAAGTTAAATTCCCTGCTGTTGGCTTTTCTCAAAGTTTCTCTCTCTCCTCCTCCCGTCTTCTCCACGATGTCTCTGGGGTGCACTGGGAAGTTGACGGAACGTCACGGTGACAAGCACAGAAGTTTGCTTCCACGCTAGAGTGACATGTCACTGGTGGCCTGGGGACTGGGCTAGCATCTGCTGACCCCTGAGGCCCACGCCTCTGCGTCTGCCTTGCCCATACGCCCACTCTCAGGGCACCCCGGCCCTATGGTCCCTTTGTGCATCTCACCTCCTACCGGGACTTGAGGGGATTTCATCTTCCCTCCATCCATGGAGAACCAGGGAGAGCTCCTTCAGGGCCCTCTCTCTACTAAGTACACCCACCACCATTTCCACTAGGCCCCAGCCTCCATGTTGGTCCACTGTGGGCAACACGTGAGGACCCCACCTTTTCCCAGAATCCCTGCGGGAATTTGGACCAATGACCCTCTCACTGCAGGCTGGGATCCAGGGAACATTTCAGCCTTGCCCACCTTCTTGTCTCTTGAGGTCCCTTCCCTGCCTTCAGGAGGACCACGTACGTATCTCTTCTCTGGGTGGTAGGAAACTCCCTCTGCCTTTCTGTGGCTTTTAACACAATCTGTAGGCTTTAAGTATGTCAATCTTTGGTTCCTTGGACCCCAGAAGTCAGTCTGTCTGTCTATCTGTCTGTCTCTCTCTCAAATATCATGAAAGCCTGAAAGGCTTGGCTTTCACAGCATTTCACAGCTGGGATGGCATTATTTTGGCCTTTAGAAGCTATACATTGACTGCTTTGTTCGTGTCTGGGTTCAGCCCTCCCCCGCCAGAAAGGAAGGCCACAACTCATTGGGTTGAGGACCCCCAGCAACAAAAATGACCAGAATGAAAAATGCATTGGATGGTATTTTAGAATATCATCCTGCCGCATGTGTAATTCGGGACAGCCAGTCTGAGCTCCGGCCGGTGTGGATTTATCGAGTGCCTACCCCGCCGAGAGTGACACTCCGTGTGGTGGGCAGCACAGAAGGTGGGTGGAGGGCCAGGTGCACGCGCATTACTCAAGCCAGAGAACTTTTGTACAGGACTCTTAAATGGGGTCTCTCCGCCCAGTGGCCCCCCAGGAGAGCTGCTGCATCTTGGGTTCATTTGCTGATGGAGTGTGATATGAGTGCTGGTCTCTTTCCAGCTCTCAGAATATCAAAGCGGGCAATGTGGCAGTGGTCCCTTGCCCAGAATGAATGAAGTGCGAGGTGAGTAATGTGTCTTCTCCCTGATTCATTGGGCGTGTACGTGCAGAGTGCACACGTACGCTCACGTAGGTGGTGGGCTTGCACGAGTGCATGCCTGCCACTTAGTATTTTTTTGGTCATTGCAGGTGGTTTATAGAGTAAACGGGAGAGACACATTTATACAGTTCACCCTACAGTCAGTGTTAGAGCGATAGCCCACAAAATGCCTTGGCAATCCTAAGCTGTGTCATAGATCATATGGGGGTGACATGGAGCAAGGTGGGTCAGCCCGGGGATCTAGAGTCCTAGTGTCTCATTCTGGCTTGGCCATCAGCCCTGGGGCCAGGCTGCTATGACCTCTTAGAAGGCACTGCTGCCTCCTTGAAAAGGGGTGGGCTCATGGATGGCTGCCAAATCCCTTCTAGCATTAACATTCTGTGTTCAAGGAAATGCTTCCCAAGATGACCATGTGGCTTGGCACCTGACTCCTCTGTTCAAAACTGGTAGTGGCAGAAATGCTTAAAGAATACTAATCATTTTTATATACTACACTAAAACCGTTCAGTATTAATAGAATTGACTTTGACTCATGGCTCAAGTACCCATAAGTTTTCAGGGCTTGGCCCCCACTACCCACCCAGATATACACTCGACAACCAGGGGAAATGAGAAGTTCTGGAGCAGAAGTGTTCCATTGTCCAGTACTTTGCAGTCAGTGAATGTGATTCTGTTCAAACTCAAAATAATGAGCTAAGCCACGGTATTTAAATCCTTCTGTGCTCCAACTCCCATCATTATGACAGAAGGAATCTAAAAAACATGGATGCAGATGGGGATCTGTCACAGAAGGGGTCAACCAAATGCTAGAAACATCAAGAAGGCTCTAGAAGTTACAGAGCTGGTGGGTGCAGCTTTGAAAATGCTGACCTACCTATAAGTCGCCACATACCTGGAGGGGAAGTGCCCAAACCTTCCTTCCCTTTCCCCACCAGCAGAAATTCCTTACCCACTCCCAAGCTCTGGTAAAAGAAAATGGAAGAAGAGGAGGGCCTTTACACTGGTGGGTCTCAATTTCCACTGGATACTGAAAAGACCTGGAAAATTAAAAATTCTAATGCCCAGGTCCCCTGCCCCATCACCAGCACACACTATAAAAACAAAATGAAAAAACAGATGATAAGCTGAGAATAATGTTTGTACTAAACATGGTAGGTAAAAAAATCAATATTTGTACGGTAAAGGGGGCTCCTCAAATTTTTAGGAAAAATAATAGAAAAGTAAATTGACACTAAATGTCAAATATCTTAGAACAATGTATGTCTCGTGACCATCAAAGTCCCACTTAGGAATTTTTCATCATAAATTAATTGTGCATGTTTCAAAGAGAAAATAAATGAAATGTTCTGAAAACTTCAAACTTGGGATAATAACTCCAGATGTTGGGTGGTCTGGAAACCTTTACTCCCACCTGTCATGGTTCCTTTCCTCCTGGTCTGCATCCTTCCATGGGCTTGAGCCCACGTCCCAGCTCCTGATCACCAGCTCTAAGGAGATCTCTCTGACTGCCCAGGTCCTCAGAGCTGCTGAGCCATGAGTGATACACACCTGCATTCTGTGAATGTTCCTGAGTGGTATCTAGTCTCCACCTGAAGGTAGGGGCTGGGCCGTGCGATTCTTCTGTCCCTCCCTTAGGACTTCAGACAGAACTGAGCGGCCGCTTCAAAGAGATGGGCTGGGCATGGATTCTGTGCCTGGGAGTGCAGATGAGACAGACCCTGGACCCAGGATGTCAGCAAAGGGAGCTGGAGGGCTGAGGAGACTGGAGACCTCACAGAGCACCAGCAAGCTGGTGCCACCAGCACTACTGTGGGGAAGAGGCAGGGCCCTGCTGCGAATGATCTCACAGTATTTTCCCGTGTTCCAATTTCCCATGATGCTTTGTCGCGCTAACTTGTACTTTTTGTCTCCATATCACATGGACAGGTTCTAACGTTCCCATGGACCAGCCCTGCTGTCGTGGTCTCTATGATTTTGAGCCAGAAAACCAAGGAGAATTAGGATTTAAAGAAGGGGACATCATTACATTAACCAATCAAATAGATGAAAACTGGTACGAAGGGATGATACGCGGGGAATCGGGATTCTTCCCCATTAATTATGTTGAAGTGATCGTGCCTTTACCTCAGTAAACATGTAACTCCAACTTCGGACATACTTTCATAACCGAAATGAATTCACACCCATGTTCTCTCAGTGTGCTGTTCTGTGACATCCTTGCTCTCTGACCAACTTAATGACTTTTGTATGTGTGTTCTCTTTATAATGTATTTTGTACCTATAAATGATTTTCTTGCCTCACATGAAAATAGGGTTTTCTTTTCTGCTGACCGTCCTAAATGTCATTGGTTCAGTGTACGTGCTTCATGTTGCTAAAAATATCAAGAAATTGCATCCGTCGCAGTTATGTCCAGGAACTGCCTACACTCCTCAGCTGCAATGGAATGCAATGTTCGAGACTAAGAATTGCTAAATATTTTGTTTATTGACCTTATGGATGGCATCTGGTCTTTCTTCATCGTGTTTTATGCTTCCCTGTGAATAGCCCAATAAATCTGACACACTGTATTGGCAAAAGGCCTTGGCTATGTTGAATGTTGAGTTGATTTTTAAGGACAGTGTTCCAGCTCCAAGTGCCTGCTGTGCCCAGCAGATGACCACTGAGTCACAGTGTGGATGCTTCGATGGCCGCTCCTGACTGACATCAGCAGGCCCGAGCATGGGCCCTCACTGTCCTGTGGACTCAGATGTGGCACATCTTCCCTCTGGCAGGTGAACAGAAAACCCTTCCACTTACTTTCAAGCTCATTCATGAAGGAGAGAGCCCGGCTCAAGCTTCTGTTGCTGCCAGGTATCGAAAAGTTTTTCTGAGCAAGTCCTACTCTAGCTGCTGAAGAAGGAGAAAGCCAGGAGTGAGGCCCAGTGCCCAGTAACAGGGTCACTTGGGCTCGGTGATGAGCCCTTGGCCTTACCCAGGGTATGCATGCGTCACGTGCTTTGGCCCACTGGGGTCCACAGTGACCCTGTCACAGGAGGGGCATGGGCTAATTCCCCTTTTTCAGAGGAGACTCATTGACTTGTCCAGGATCAGACCACCAAGTAGTGGCAGAGGCAGAATTTGAACTCAGACCATTTACGGTACTCCACTGCCCATTTAAGTGTTACCCAGGTTACCTGGAAGTGATTTACAATTCGTAAATCATATCCCGAGGTCGGTCAGACTGGTCACCTCCACCAGGAGACCTAAACCCTCCGTCTTCGGAGTCCATGGTACATTAGTAAATTAATGACAGCATGCTTTTCCACCAGCTGCCTACACACACACCCTTCTCTAAAACAGTTGTACATTCAGTGTCTACAATAAAATAAATGATTAGTGATTAATAAATTAGAATAATAGCATTATTGTGTGCTTACTATGTGCCATGTTATTTCAAGTCTTTTGTACAGATCAACTCATTTCGATCTTCATAAACAATGGTGTGAGGCAGATCTGATGCCCAGTTTTCAGATAAGGATCTGAGATGCAGTAAGACTCCTTGAGTAGCTTGTCCATGGTTCATGAAATGGGAGAGCCGGGATTCGAACTCCGACTCTCTCTCTCTCACACCCATCCTCTTCACTTCTCTCCTCTACTACCTCTCATAACGTGTTTGTCTGCACATATTCACAGGGTAGCCACTTTACATATCCCATCAGATTTTTTTTTTGCATATCCCATCAGATTTTTTTTTTTTTTGCTTTTTGAAATTTTTGCCAGAAGGCACTTAAACTTGAGGGAGAAGGAATGTGAAAGAGGGAAAATGAGAGAGCACCACCCCCATGGGGAGTGTTCATGCTACAATCCCTTCTCCATTTATCACTCCTCTAGGGATTTTGGGCATGCATGCACACATACCCGGTGTGTTTTTCAAGCCACAGGTTCTGGGACTCAAACCATGCATTTGGCCATGTGGGATCCAGCTGCCTTAACTACCACGCCATCAGCTGTCCCTTCCCCTATCAATTTTTATTTTCTACCTGATACATTAGAAATTTACCAAAGGAAATGAAGAATCCAGGACCTTTTAAAAATTATTATTATTTATTAAAGTTTTTGCCATGAGGTGTGTGTGTTCACCAGAGAGAGAGAGAGGAAAGGGGGGGGGCAGGAAATTGAGAAATCACCCCTTGGGGGGATGACGACACCAAAGTTCCTTCTCCATCCTCCTCCTGGGATTTTGGGCACACACACGTTCCCAGCAAGATTTTCAACCCACTGGGTCCAAGACTCGAACAGAGTTCAGCTATGTGGGATCCAGCCACCTTAACCTCCATGCCACCTGCTGGCCCATTCCTAGAATTTTAAAAATCAGGGAATCAGCAGTTAGCGTAATGGCTATGTCGCTGGACTCCCACGTAGTCGACCGCGGTTCGCGTCCCGGACCCGGTGGCTTAAAACTCACGCTGGGCGTGTGTGTGTGCGTGCCCAAGATCCCGAGAGGAAAATGGAGGAGAAGGGATTGCGACATGACCATCCCCCCTGGGGGGTGATTTCTCTCTTTCTGTCTCTATGTCTCTCTCTGTCTATCTGCTGAGCACATGTGCCCTATAGTGAAAACCTCTCCAAAAAAAAATAAAATGAAATAAAAAAATAAAAATCATATCCATTTGATCATTTCAGTCAGGAATGGCTGATTTGAATAAAACATTTGAACTTAAGTTATCTTCTGGGATCAGTAATCTCTACCTGATCAAAAACTTCATGTCAGTTTTTTTAAATGTCCCATTTGATGGCCGCTCCTGACTGACATCAGCAGGCCCGAGCATGGGCCCTCACTGTCCTGTGGACTCAGATGTGGCACATCTTCCCTCTGGCAGGTGAACAGAAAACCCTTCCACTTACTTTCAAGCTCATTCATGAAGGAGAGAGCCCGGCTCAAGCTTCTGTTGCTGCCAGGTATCGAAAAGTTTTTCTGAGCAAGTCCTACTCTAGCTGCTGAAGAAGGAGAAAGCCAGGAGTGAGGCCCAGTGCCCAGTAACAGGGTCACTTGGGCTCGGTGATGAGCCCTTGGCCTTACCCAGGGTATGCATGCGTCACGTGCTTTGGCCCACTGGGGTCCACAGTGACCCTGTCACAGGAGGGGCATGGGCTAATTCCCCTTTTTCAGAGGAGACTCATTGACTTGTCCAGGATCAGACCACCAAGTAGTGGCAGAGGCAGAATTTGAACTCAGACCATTTACGGTACTCCACTGCCCATTTAAGTGTTACCCAGGTTACCTGGAAGTGATTTACAATTCGTAAATCATATCCCGAGGTCGGTCAGACTGGTCACCTCCACCAGGAGACCTAAACCCTCCGTCTTCGGAGTCCATGGTACATTAGTAAATTAATGACAGCATGCTTTTCCACCAGCTGCCTACACACACACCCTTCTCTAAAACAGTTGTACATTCAGTGTCTACAATAAAATAAATGATTAGTGATTAATAAATTAGAATAATAGCATTATTGTGTGCTTACTATGTGCCATGTTATTTCAAGTCTTTTGTACAGATCAACTCATTTCGATCTTCATAAACAATGGTGTGAGGCAGATCTGATGCCCAGTTTTCAGATAAGGATCTGAGATGCAGTAAGACTCCTTGAGTAGCTTGTCCATGGTTCATGAAATGGGAGAGCCGGGATTCGAACTCCGACTCTCTCTCTCTCACACCCATCCTCTTCACTTCTCTCCTCTACTACCTCTCATAACGTGTTTGTCTGCACATATTCACAGGGTAGCCACTTTACATATCCCATCAGATTTTTTTTTTGCATATCCCATCAGATTTTTTTTTTTTTTGCTTTTTGAAATTTTTGCCAGAAGGCACTTAAACTTGAGGGAGAAGGAATGTGAAAGAGGGAAAATGAGAGAGCACCACCCCCATGGGGAGTGTTCATGCTACAATCCCTTCTCCATTTATCACTCCTCTAGGGATTTTGGGCATGCATGCACACATACCCGGTGTGTTTTTCAAGCCACAGGTTCTGGGACTCAAACCATGCATTTGGCCATGTGGGATCCAGCTGCCTTAACTACCACGCCATCAGCTGTCCCTTCCCCTATCAATTTTTATTTTCTACCTGATACATTAGAAATTTACCAAAGGAAATGAAGAATCCAGGACCTTTTAAAAATTATTATTATTTATTAAAGTTTTTGCCATGAGGTGTGTGTGTTCACCAGAGAGAGAGAGAGGAAAGGGGGGGGGCAGGAAATTGAGAAATCACCCCTTGGGGGGATGACGACACCAAAGTTCCTTCTCCATCCTCCTCCTGGGATTTTGGGCACACACACGTTCCCAGCAAGATTTTCAACCCACTGGGTCCAAGACTCGAACAGAGTTCAGCTATGTGGGATCCAGCCACCTTAACCTCCATGCCACCTGCTGGCCCATTCCTAGAATTTTAAAAATCAGGGAATCAGCAGTTAGCGTAATGGCTATGTCGCTGGCCTCCCACGTAGTCGACCGCGGTTCGCGTCCCGGACCCGGTGGCTTAAAACTCACGCTGGGCGTGTGTGTATGCGTGCCCAAGATCCCGAGAGGAAAATGGAGGAGAAGGGATTGCGACATGACCATCCCCCCTGGGGGGTGATTTCTCTCTTTCTGTCTCTATGTCTCTCTCTGTCTATCTGCTGAGCACATGTGCCCTATAGTGAAAACCTCTCCAAAAAAAAATAAAATGAAATAAAAAAATAAAAATCATATCCATTTGATCATTTCAGTCAGGAATGGCTGATTTGAATAAAACATTTGAACTTAAGTTATCTTCTGGGATCAGTAATCTCTACCTGATCAAAAACTTCATGTCAGTTTTTTTAAATGTCCCATTTTCCTTATTGAGGCTTTTCAGAACACTGGATACTTTGTTCTCTATTTTCCTGGCTCCAGATATGAATTTGGAGAGAACTCATTTTATGAAATCTTTTTGATTTCTTTCTTAGTTTTTTAAAAAATAGAAGCACACTGCTTTGGCACGTATTTAATGAAATAGCATTTAGCCATTTCATGGGAAATGCTGAGTAAGTGCCACTCTTGCTTTGATGGTTAATCGGAGACCCAGGCTAGGGCCAAATATCAAAGTGCCATGGAGCAGTTGGGCTGCTGGGTAGTTTTTCAGGCCAAAGGTCACAGTGGAAGGGTTAAAGAACATGGCCGGGAAAACATGGCTTCCTTCAAGCCAGACCCACCGAATCATATGAGCAAATGGGGAAGACCCAGGCAGAAATGAGAAGTGGCTCACAATAAGTGCTTCTTGGTTTTGTTTTTTGAGGAAAAGAAAAAACTTCTGATGTTTTTGCTGCTTGGGAGGATTATATATGTAGTATATGCATATTATAAAATATTTAGATTCCTTTTGTTCTTTTTTAAAGAGTTTTTTTTCTATAGGGCATGTGTACTCACCAGAGAGAGAGAGAGACAGAGACAGAAAGGGAGAAATCCCCCCCCCCGAGGGTGGCTGGCCTTACCACAATCCCTTCTCCTCCATTATCCTCTTGGGATTTAGAGCATGCATGCATGTGTGCCTGGTGTGTTTTAAGCTGCCAAGTCTGGGACTCGAACCATGTTGGGCTACGTGGGAGTCCAGCAATGTAATCATTATGCCATCTGCTGGTCCCTAGATTATTTTCTTGATAAAGAGATGTGAATAGATGGTGAATGAACAGGTAGCTAGCTATTTTTACCCATGCTATCAACTTCCATGACTTCAAGTATCCACCATGTACCAATGAATCAATAAATTTCTAGCCCAAGTTATAATCTTGATTATAGATCCGAAGGCACTTCCAGTCCACAGTGTCTCTGACTAAGCCATTGTCCTTGTGTTGCCCCCCACCACCACCTTCCTCCTCCTGTGTCCTATATCAGTGAATAACACTTCTAGCACCCATGTCACCTGTCAGGAATCTGAGCCAGTCTTGACTTGGCACTCTTCAGCACCCTACTCTTTAAAGTCGTTCACGACATCTCCTAAAGTTTGAATATGTCCCCTCAAAATTCATGTGTTGAGATTTGGTTGTGATGGGACAGAGAAGGTGAAATCTTAATCCAAATATGGTGTTGAAATTTGGGGCTTTCAGGAGTTTCAGATTCAGGCTATCAGGGTGTGGCCCCCGTGACTGACTCCTGATGGGTTTATAAGGAGAGGAATGATACATGGGCACAGATACACTCCTGCTTTCCACCATGTTGAAATACAGCCAGAGACTCACCAGATGTGGCCCCTTGGACTTCCAAACCTATGAGCTGAATAAATCTCTATTTGCTGACATTACCCAGACTCGTGTATTTTTTGTAATTAGCAACAGAATGGACTAGAACAGTATTTTATCCATTGTACTTTCTAATAAGTCTGAACTCC